AGGTTTCTATTTGTGAAACTGTACATGAGATTTAGCACACTCTTAAAATTACACATGAAGGCACAAGTAGAGTTAAAGATTCTAAAATTAATCTTTTGATATATGATTTCGAATTATTTCGTATGAAGCTAAGTTGTTGACATGTACACCCATTTTACAGATGTCATCAATATTTTAAAAAGTCTTGATAAATATTTTTCTAATTTTGAACTTGTTAATAAAATACTAAGATCCCTTCCAAAAAGTTGGGATCCGAAAGTGACGGTAATACAAGAGACAAAGAACTTGAACAATTTCCTTCTTGAAGAATTTATTGGGTCTTTAATGACCTATGAAATGACTTGTATCGAACGTAATGAACTTGAGAACAACCTTCCAAAAAATAGGAAGGATTTGACACTTAGAACAAATAAAGACCACTTAAGCAAAAGCTTAAGTGATGATGACTTTGAACTCTTAACAATAAAGCTTAAAAAGTTCTTAAAATAAGAATCAAAGAATAAAAACGAACTTAAAAAAAAGAAACTGCCAAAGAAGAAGAAAACACTCAAGGCAACATGGGACGAAATGAGTATGTATGAAGATGAGGAGCAAACCAACAAAGATGAGGTGTCAAACTATGCCTTGGTGGCATTTGATAATAAGATAAGTGACTCAACCAAAACTCCACCTTATGAAATTACTTGATGCATTTTATGAGTTATTTTTAAATTAGTTAGTAAGAAAAAAAAATATATAAAAAATCATACTTCTCTTTCTAGTTATTTTGAAAAATAAAAAATGAGAATGATAATCGTATGTTAACTCCTTACACTAAATGCAATGAGTTAGATTCACTAAAGAACGAAAATATATTACTATAACAAATAATAATAAAAGAAAGATCATTGGAATTAAAATGATTATTAACAAATCGAATCTTTTGTTTGAAGATGCTATGTTAGTAGACATAACTAATTAAGTATTTATATAATAAGTGATATAAATTTGAATCTAATGCTTACATACCAAATAAAAATAATTCTATGAATGCTTAAATATTTATCTTGATGATTTTCATGCTGAAGCTTATTTTTCGGTTTGTAAACGTTGATACATATTTTTATTTGGCATAAAAGACAAAGGTATGCTTATATGAAATAAATCACAAAATTAAAACACATAAAAGGGGAATGCATCTCTTTTGAAAATGTCTTTATTTCTAAAACTTATCAAGTTTTTCAATCCATGTATATTATTATTTTTTGAATCTCTTGAACTATGAAAGTGATTTTTATGATATGAATTTGAATGAGTTATTATCCAAATTATGATCTTGATATCTTGATAATTATAACTTGAGATTTTTATATAAATCAATATCGTTCACTATGATTCTTTCGTTTTTATTAAAGAGAATTATCCAAATGAATCATGATTTCTCATAATTATAAATTAGATTTTTTTATGAATCATTTTTTTTATTCCCTCTTTCACTAAAAAGGATATTTGTTAAAATGAATAATATATTTTGATATTCCCATAATCTTTAATATTATCTTTCATGACATGATTTTCATTATGAATAATTCCTTTGTATTTATAGTTGTAAACCTTATGTTATGAGTAGAGCATTGATGTAAAGGGAAATGAATTACACCATTATATAATTCCCCTCTTCTTCTTTCTTATTTATGATGACACAAAGAAGAAAGAAAATTGTTAGCATCACAAGAGATTGATACATCTATTTATGTCATTTTGAATATCTTGAAAGTGATTTTGATGATTTAAATTTGAATATGTTATTAATCCAAATCATGATATTGATTTCTCAGAATTATAACTTCAAATTTTCTTTATATGAATCAAGATCATTTATTATGATTCTTCTTTTCGTTATTAGATTTATCCAAATGAATCATAATTTCTCTCTTGATTTTTTCGATATTTGATTCACAACTTGAAAGTTATTTTAATACTCCCTTTTGTATTCATGAAGTGTATATCTTATCATTAAATTAATTCTTTTTATATTCTTTATGTGATGATTTGATAATTGATGTAAACGGAAATGAACTACTAGATTGTATTCTTCCCTTCTTTTTAACAATAACAAGGGAGAGAAAATATTACAAGCTTATACATTTCAAGGAGAAAACTTATTAGCTTACATATTTCAAAGAGAAGAAAACTTGCTAGTTTGCATATTCTAAAATAATGTGAAATTTGCTAGCTTGCATATTATAAAATGATATAAAATTTATTAGCTTGTATGATGTAAAACTTGCAAAATTGCATATTACAAAAGGAAGTAAGAATGGCTAGCTTGTACATTTCAAAGAAAGGCAAAATTTGCTAGCTTGTATATCTCAAAAGAGAAGCAAACAGTGATATCTTGCCTCTTTCGATTTGCACATCTCAAGAAGCAAAAAGTGCTAGCTTGCCCATCTCAAGAATAAACAAAAATTAGTATCTTGCATATCTCAAAAATGCAAAAAATTTGCTAACTTTTATATGTGAAAAACTTGCTAGCTTGCATAATGACATATGCAATGATCTTTCAAAAACTTGAAATTATGTTTATAATACTATGATTTGAAATTATATCTCAAAAACTTGCTAAATGCACTTCTCCTTTTTATCGATGACAAAGGGGGAGAAGATATGATGATGAGTTGAATTATACATGGTAGGATGTACTTTTATGTTTTAAAATATTGCATAATTTTTTGAATTTAAATATTCTATTAATATGACATATTGATAGGGAGAGTTTAGTTTAAATTCCATCATTAATTGGTTGTCATCATAAAAAAGGACGAGATTGTTGAATCTCGGATTTTGATGATGAAATTAATTGATGAGTTAACGATCTAATATGCATTTTGAGTGATGTAGGACTAGCTTTGATCATGGAGAGACAATTTGATTAAAGTAGCAAAAATCAATGTTGGGCCGAAGTAGAACATGTCAAAAGATTGGATGTCGAGCCAAAGGATTGGTCGATGTGTTGGCAGAAGGCTTCGTGCTATGAGTTCGGGCATCGAGCTAAGAAGATCGGACATTATACTAAGGAGATCGGATATTGTGGGAAGATAACTTGCCAATTGGGCAATATGCTGAAGGAGAGGATGATGTACCGAAGGGTCGAACGAAGCGCCGGATGAACCAATGATATGTCGGACAATATATGATTAATACTTTGTAATAATTGTCTAGATCAAAATAGTTTTAGATCTAATTGAGTTGGTATTGGAGTGAAACAATGCAAACTCAGGGCCAATTGGGCCTAAATCAGGACTGAATTTGGCTTGTTGTTTGACCCATTCAGTGTCTTGTAGCAAGGTCTGGCGGTGGGACCGCTCAGATTGGATGGTGGTACTGCCCAGATTGGACGGTGGTACCACCCAAATATAGTCTTCAAGATTGTGTCAGGCGGTGGTACTGTCAGACTAGGTGGTGGTTATTGCCCAATGTTAGTGTGTCAAGTGGTAGTACCACCAAATTGGGCGATGGTACCGCCCAGTGTCCGAGAGTACTGATGGTGGTACTGTCAGTACCCTAAAATCCCAAGGATTCAAATTTTTAGCTCCAAATTTGAATCTATTTGGGGTCTATAAAAACCCCACTCATCCGGTTTACACAAGAACTAAGAGCAAAAAAAAAAAAACTCTATTATAATATTGTGAGGACTCCTCTTAAACTCCAAGTGTTGGGTAAAGTTTAAGAGAGTGGGTGAGTGGTTGTAAAGGTTATCGCTTAAACCTGTGAAAAGGAGAAAAATGGGTGTAAAAGGATAGTTGATCTTCATATATTAGAAAGAAGATCAGTAGTGGAAGCCGATAGCCTCGAGTAAAGAAGAATCAGGAGTGGATGTAGGTTACGATGACCGAACAACTATAAATTCAGTGTGCTTTCTTTCTGTGTCATTTCTTTGATGCTTTTTATTCTCATCACTCACTGATTTACTTGCTCACTACCCTCATCATTTACGAATGTTTTTAAGTTTGAAATATTTTTTCGGATATAAGCTTTATCGAACGAATCTTTGAATCAACGTCGTTTTTATCAAAAGTACTACTTCACCCCCCCCCCCCCCCTTATGATTCACGATCCTGACAATTGTCTGGGTTCATGTTTAGTGATGATTGGGTTTCCACTATCACCGATTCATTTGTTTATTTTTTGCTTCTCCTCGCATGTTGGTTCAGTTGACTTTATATATTGAATGATATCAAATTGCTTATTGATTCCAATTGTATTGGAAAATTGTTATTCTTCAACTTTTTACAATGTTTCGACTACAAGGAGGGCAACCTATACAGATGAACAATACTACTTGGGGCTATTGTACTTTAATCCTTGATTCTCGTTGGTATTGTACACTGTGAGATCCAAGAACTTATCGATCTCAGTGAATAGTCGAGGCATCACGACAGAAGTGGAGATGCATAAACAATAAGTTTCTCTAATGACAAGACTATCGTCGACCAGGGCAGGAATGATAAAAAAACGAACGATGTAGGAGGGTCGACTATCAAATGATGTAGGACCGATGACGGTTGAACGGTGTAGGAGAGACGTCGGTCGAGCGGGTGCAATGAACGAGTGGCGGGAAGTAGGTCGAAAAGAGAAGAGGAAGAGAAATCGATTAGAGTGAGAAGTGGATATAAATTTAATAATTTAAAAAATAATAAAATTATATATTTATTTTTTTATTCATATTTTTTGGTATATGATAACATATTCGATATTTTTTGTTGATAAAATTAATGACGTAAGAAAAATTAAGATTAAATATTTTACTTTTATAAGTATATAAATCGTAATATTATTTTTTTAATATAAAAATAAAAAAATAAGTAATTACGTGCGTCGATGAAATTGGCATCCGAGTGCGACGTGAATTGGTAGACCAAACAGCACGCTGATAACACGTGATAATCACGTGCATACAAGACGTCTATAAATATATGGACACGCTATCTTGTAGGACTTTTACTAGGGCATACCTCTGCGATTCGTTGTATGATCCCCGTTGTCTTCCTCGTCCGAAAACCCTAACTCATCCTAATTCTTTTTGTCCGAGCTACGTCCCTTCTCTCTCGATCTATGGGAAAGAGAAGGGAGCGCCGCCTTGCGGCGATGATGGCGGCGAGCCGCAGAGTAAAGCTCGATCTCTTCACTGAGCCCTCTGGTAACCTCTGCCTTGCTCATCTTGATTCGTTTTTATTCAGAACATATGTTGAGGCAGAAGCAGTGTTGTCTTTTTAGGCTCGTTTCTTTTGTTGAATTTGTTGGGGACCTTCTGGCCGAGTCTTATTCGTCCTGTATTCTGTGCGTATTCCAATGATCTTTCGCTTTTGTTCGGATTGTTAAGTGTTTATGAGAAAGGGGAACTTTTTTTGGTGAATCGTGATAAATATTATCCTTTCCTAGCCCGTAAAAGAATGGATTTTTTTTTTGTTTCTTACTCTGCAATTTCTGGTTGCCCCCTTTAGATTTAAATTGATATTCTTTTATTTATGAACGAAAAACGTTAATTGGTTTTGTTTTCCTTCCCGTTATATCAATTTCTTACGTGATCCGAGGTAACAATATATATGAATTTAATTGTTTTCTGAAATTAGTGATTTCTAACCGACAACAGTGGTTAATAAGGACTTTAGACCTTTCTATTTCGTTTGTGTAACGAGTTAGGTGTTGACTTCTTGCCTTGTAGTTTCATTTTATATATCCTTGAATCTAGCGTGCGACATGAATACTACTGAGTAGAAGATTTGTCTAGTCATAAAATGTTGTTTGGAATATCTTCATGGCAGATGATATGATATTGAATATTACATAAGAAAACGTTGGCTTCTATGGAGACTGTTCACCATTGAAGTGGGCTTAGCAGGTCAATTCAAGAAGCTAAGCAAAAACATATTTTGAAAATAAAAATCATGTGGCTTAGTTGAAATCTTGCAACTTACAGAAGCAGGGAATGCAAAATCTAAATTTAACTGTATTGTGATGGAAAAGTCTAGTAAATGTTCAAAATATGGGGCAATTGTGTAACAATTATAAGTGAAGGTAACTAAAAGCTAAATAAACTATTCCTTAAGGAGTTATTAATACTTCCAGGATTTTCAAAGATAGCCAATTGGCTAATATATGCATTTTCACTAGTTAGCTGTATGGACTTTGATGATGCTTTGAATGTTGGACCTGCTCAGGATAATTTGTGTCCATGCATTATACTGTCAGCATGGATCGAAATGAGAAGCATATAAGATGTCAAATTCTAAATTTAACTGTATTGCGATGGCAAAGTCTAGTAAGTATCAGAATATGAGGCAATTATGTAACAATTGTTAATGAAGGTAACTAAAAGCTAAACTATTCCTTAAGGAGTTGTTAATACTTCCAGGATTATCAAAGATAGCCAATTGGCTAATATATGCATTTTCACCAGTTGGCTGTGTGGACTATGATGATGCTTTGAATGTTGCATCTGCTCAGGATAATTTTTGTCCATGCATTATACCATCAGCATGGTTTAAAATGAGAAGCATATAAGATTGTGCATCTATACAATTCGTTTTCTTTTATCATCAAAGTTGGTCAGAAAAATGTCTCAGTGACTATGGGAGTTATTTTCATTGAGATTTCATGGTGATGAGATCTAAGTGATGAATGTCATAGTATCACGGGTGTTACATTCATCACTTAGGATAAGATCTAAATGATGAATGGCATAGTATCATGGACCAAATGTAACAGTAACAAGATAATAGCAACAGTTGAAATAGAACTAGTTCAGAGGTAATATAACTATGTGTTTTTGTTTTTTTATTCTTACACAGATTGTATATGTTTAATACATTTTATATCCAATATAACCCAAATTGTTTATGGAGCAGTCTTATGAATTTGTCTATAGTTAGGTGTTATATACAATTTGTCATTATAACACCAAATTGTATATTTCTTACATGTTGCATGTTCAGCTGCTACTCGTCCCTCTATAGTTAGGTCAAGACCAGCTTTTTTGTCAGAACAAGAAAGAATCTGTCTCATCATTTTTCTTTTCAAGTGATGAGCATACTATCATTAGAATTAGTTTTCATTTGTCCTTGATTGGAACATATGCCACTGTTGAGTGGGTCATGTTTTGCATGACTGAATCTGTGGCAATTTTGTGGATAAGACCCAACTTTTATTTGGGTTTGTGGTTTAGTTTGCATGACAATTATATGTGCTTTTGTTACAAACGTTTCTTTTGGGTGAATTTACAGACTTTTGTATCCTTCTTTAAAGTTATATGTGATCTTGGTCAAAATTTTTTTCTTCACTCTCTTTCCTTGTTACTAATCATATTTTCTATTTGTAGGAGAGATGGTGGGCAATTCTTTACATGATGAAGTAGGAGGGGATCTTGATAAGGACCACCATGAGGTCCCCAGTTCACCATCTTCTTCAGGTGGGTTCCATCAATTTATCTTAAAGGACTATGTAGAGAGGATATGCCTGCAAAGCATATTTTTGGTGGAAATTTGGAAATATTGTACACGCTTGTTGTATGCACCAAATATCTGGTTCTGAGACTGTAGGGTGGCTGAAGAACATGCATTAGTCGTTTCAGATCGGGCTGCCACTGGGAAAATTGAATGACTCCCTACCTGTCATTATCCTCTGGCAGCATCTAGATGTGGAGGTTTGTATGTCTCTAGCTTTATTTGGTTTGTACCTGCTGACATGAGTTTTATGACTGCCAGGTGGGTGGTCATTTTTTTATCCTTTCAATGACAAAATAAAACTTATTTAACGTATTATATATTATTCAGGAGATTGATAATAGTCTAATTTGTACTAATTTATATTATTTTGTTACTTATTAGCTCATTTTACTGCTTTTTGAGATATTTTACTAGTTTACAACTACATATAATGTCCTCAGGTCAGAAGCAGGAAAATCCTTTGTTGCTACTTGAACAATATAGCGATGATGAATTGGAAGATGACACAAGTGAACAACCAACACATACTGCTGAGGCGAGTGTATCAACTGGTCCTGAAGTCCAGGTATTGCTGCCCTAATTCTGTCACTAGTTTAACTTACAAAAGTGTTGATGTTCTTCTACAACCATAAGATGATGCATGTATATCACATGTATCTATTTAGTTGTTTTTAAGTGAACTTATTAGTTCCTTTGTGCTTTTTTCTAAAGTTGGTTTAAGGCTTAAAGATATGTTAGAGACTAGTAATGATCATGAACTTTTGGTTTCCTAAAATGTAACCCTGATTCTAGGGGTCTGACTTATTGTTGCAAGTTCATGCTGGTGGTGGAAATAGCACAATAATTTCTCTTCCACAAGGTAAAATGTCAGGTTTGTGTGGCATGAGTCGGATCTCATGCACGTTATGTCAGCACAAAGCATTCCAGCTTGCATAGTCACTCACTATTATGCTTCTGGGCATAATACCTGTGCTCTGTGCAGTATGTTGCATACAGTGCTTATTGTGGTCCTATTGTCTGTTTAATGCTAGCCATAAATTTTTAAGGAGGTTTTGCTATACTTGTGGTTTTTCTTGTATATCATGTAAAGGTCACTTGTCCAAGATCCTTTCTAATAGTCCTCTTAAAAATTTAATATACTAGTTCTTGGACTGTTTACTTACATATGAAGCAATGTGTCCTTGTTTGAGTTTGTTCTTGGATTTGTTATTGTATTTCTAGCTAGTAAATTTTATGTGCCACAAAGTATAACATCATTACCAACAGGGTCAGGAGAGTGTAGGTGCAAGTGGGATTGCTGGAAGCAAACCTGATAACGCAGATGCTACTGGTGACATCAAAGATGATGACCAGTTGGATCACATCAACAATGTCGACTCAAATGATACCAAAGAAAGTGATGTTGCTTTAGCAGCTTCTCAATATACTGAAGCTGATCCGGCTAGTCAAACTGTTCTTGATGCTTCTGGAATGCAAATCGTCGGTGATCTTACTGGAAATTGGAAGGTTGTCATGCATGGGCAGAGCAACCAATATTATTATTGGAATACTGTGACAGGAGAGACTTCATGGGAGATACCTAGCGGAATGGAAGTTTCAATAAGTGGAGTAGATCTTTCTTCCACTGTTGGAGGACAAGTGGCTTATCCTGTTCTTATGCATGCAAATAATGCAGCTCCTGAGATGCATGGAATTACTAATTTGGTCCCCACAAGCATGGAGGCCTATGGAACTGTGGAGTTGGATAAAGAGAATGGAAAGGTTTGTGTGACTCACTTTGGGAGTTTCGATGTTATGGTACTATACTCTATACATACATAGGTCATAATTACTAACTTCTTTATTACATTGACAGCGATCAGGCAATGCCTTTTTGGACTTTTCAAAGACTTCAGGAGAAGATCTCTCAATCTATGAAGTGAAGCATGCTACAGAAACTACCGCATGCTATGAAACAACAGATATTCATTCTGCTGAGCTTGTTAAATATGGTCAAAGTTTATTGCAAAGATTGAAAGCAGTGAAGGGGTATTTTTTTGTTTTGTGATTTTTTTTTTGTTGTTGCTCTATGCTGTTTTCTTTCTAATAATTGTTTTTATATCATTATGTGAACGGTATATAGTAATTCTTTTAGTCACATCTTAATGGTGATATGTTGCCTTTTGCAGTTCTCTTAATGGACATGAATGGATGGAGAAGGAAATTGAGTTTAGAATATCTGATTGCAGAGCACTTTCCTCGTATGGGTTATCGCTGCTTCCATTTTGGTGGCATACTGAAACACAGCTCAAACAGCTTGAATCTGTGATTTCCAGGGAAGAAGCTTCTTTTGTAGCTGAGAAAAGCATTTTGCTTTGCGTAGGAGCAGCATCTGAAGTGGTTGAGAAGATCAATGGTGAAAATCACCAGTCAGTTCTTGATACTGCTGCAACAGTAGTACAAACTGATGAGCATATGCCTGAGATTGAAGGAACCATTATTAAGGGATTTTCTTCTGGTTTAACCAGTAAGAATTTGGGAACAGATACAGAAGTTGAAGGTGTGCAGCCAGTGTCAAATGTTGAGTCACATACCGAGGATGTGGATATGGATGTTGAGATGGAGGTTGATGATGAAACCATTACAGTCCACACTGCTGCTCAATATTCATCAACCACCGAATGTCCAGCTTCAGTGGAACCAGCAATCCTGACAAACACATCTTCAGTGGTCTCCACTTCAGTTCCTGCAGATGAGCCAAGCATTCCACCACCTCCAGATGAGGAGTGGATTCCTCCACCACCTCCTGATAGTGAACTGATTCCTCCTCCTCCTCCAGAAGACCCACCATTACCATCATATCCTCCACCTTATGCTGAAGCCATACCTCCACCTTTCCAAGATCAATATAGCTTGGGTTATGCTGTTCCATCTTATGAGTATTATGCTCCTGCAGTGAGTGAGGTCACAAGCGTCAGCTATTATGTGCATGCTGATGGATCTCATATTTCTGAAACTGTGCAACCATCATACTATGAGCCAGTAGTTTCGAGTTCTTATCCTGAATTGGTTGCTGATGTCCAGTCAGTTGAACCGATAACATATTATGGCATTTCTGGTGGAGCTGTCCCTCATGTACCTGTAGTCACTGTCACAGGATCATCTGGGTATTATGTTGAATCAGGGCCTGTCAGCTATAATGATGGTGTTTCTGTACTGGATCAAGCAAGTTCTGTTGGGTATACCATGGAGTCTGTGAATAGTGTTTTGCCTCCAGTTAAGCATGAATCTGATGTTGCTGCAGTTTCCAAAGAGCCTGACAAGGGCAGTGTGCAAGTGACTTCAAATGCGTCTTCCATGCAACTTGCTAGTAATGCTTCTTTGAATGGGAGTACGACAGTTGCAACTTCCGCTGCCACCAAGAGTAAATCCAGAGGTTTTGAATTCTCAGTGACTATTTGATTTATTAACTGGACACATACAGGATACATGCCAATGCTAGCCATGTATCCTGTGCATCTTGATGCTAACGACCTTGCTACCTCTTACCAGTTCTGCGTGGGAAGAAGCGCACGGTTGCTGTCGCCCCAACTTTGAGGTCTAATAAGAAGGTCTCCAGTCTGGTGGATAAGGTATTATTTAGATTGCTCGAGTTTTCTCCATAACCTAGTGCAATAAGTGTTATCTCTTGCACACATATACATATGTCCACAATGAATTATTTAGATTGCTCGAGTTTTCTTCATAACCTAGTGCAATAAGTGTTATCTCTTGCACACATATACATATGTCCACAATGTATCTTATAGTACATTGATTTCATCAGTGGAAGGCTGCAAAAGAGGAACTGCATGGAGAAGAGGATGAAGAACCGGAAGATGCTCTTGAAATTTTGGAAAAGAAACGCCAAAAGGAAATAGAGGTTTTTAATATTGCATTTGCTTTAGCTGTTACACTTGGATGTGTCAGCATTTTGGTGTTAACATGTTCATGCACACAGGAATGGCGTGCACGTCAGATTGCAAGTGGCGAAGCTCAAGATAATGCAAATTTTCTTCCTTTAGGTGGTGATTGGTATGTTCAATTCATTAGCCTTGAACTTTATTATCTTCGTGTACCGAAGTTTAAGGTGTGCATATCTTGTCATGTCCACTGGTATGGTTGCATGCTGCATTCGTTTTTGCATGTGCTGTGCCTTGCCATGTGCAACATCCTGGCCACAAAAAGTATTCTTCATACTGGTTTGGTGTCAGTGTAGCGCACACATAGCACTTAAATCGTTGGGTTGTACCTTCATATAACCGTGATACATAAGCTTTCTCAATTTTTATCTTTTGAATTATATCTGATCCTTTAGTTGAGTGATTGATATCCCCAAACTGAATTATATCAGGTTATTTAATTCTTCATGAGTTTATTAATGATATTTTCTCTTACTATTTGCAATATTTTAAGAACAAATTATGAATCAGTGAAACTATTTATTGCTTGACTTATTGCCAGTTATCATTCATTTTTTTTCCATTTACAATTTTGTTTTATGTTACACAGTGTATAAAGTTGTATAAAAATAAGTTTTTTATATGTTTGCTCATTCGTTTTGAGCTTTTACCAAACTTATCTACTTCCCTTAATCCCCACCTTTGATCCTAGATGATTTTTTTCCTGAATGAACTTGTGAATATGCATGCACTTTCCTGGCCGATGGCACTAGTGGCCTAAAGAGAAACTTTTCCTTTTCAATTCTTCATTGAAGTTGCCTTTTTTATATGTTATTTTCTTAGTACAGAATACAAAACATGAGCCATGTTGAAATGCACATATTAACATGAAAGGGCAAAAGTTTTAGATCAACTGTAGCAGGTCATGCTATATTCATGTCTTTGTGATATATGTAGTCATAGTTTCAAATACCAGTTGTACCAGTATGTACCATTGGGTATCTACCAGTCTATTATTATATATATATATTTTTCAGTGATACCAGGTGGTGCATATCAGTATACCTACCTGATAATGCATCAAAACCGGTATGCGACTGGTATTTAAAATGGTCATGCATTTATATATTTTTATATGTAGATATGTTCATGCACATATATATCTTGATGTGCTATACAAGACTATCTGCTGGTTATTTTTGCCAATGACATCTTAGTTTCTTGACAAAATCTGCCATCAATGACTCTTTACATCACTTTGATTCAACAACCAATGCCTTTATCTTTATTGGGTTAGAATCCTGGGATCACAGTAGTTTTTTAGAGTCGTGATTTAGAATGCCTTTATCAATGACTCTTTACATCACTTTGATTCACAGTAGTTGGTCTTGTGTGGTAGTTATCTAGGTGCAGCTTTAAGTGCCACAGATTTTTTTCCCTTTGCCTGGGTCAGATTTAGTCTAACAAAATATCTGAGACATCTCTACATTGAGTGTTGATCCTACTCAAATAAGGTTTTTTATATTCAAGTAACCATGAGCCTAAGCCAAGTTCTACACTGAAACCTCAAGGATTATTACTTCTTTAAACGTGTCCTTTTATTTAGAGATGCCTCGTTTAGATTCATTCAGCTACTGAGAAACACATATGTTTGTTGTAACCCTTTCTGCTTTGTAGTTTACTTCAGCATGTCCTTTTGGGTATTAATGGGTGGTACCTGCAATTTCAAGTTGCATTCATCATTAAATCATTTTGGTAAATCTTATGTATCCTAGTTGATCCCAGCTTCATATTGATCGAACTGAGATCAAAATTCCTGTTTGAACTCTTTTTTATGGGCATAGAAAGGTCTTACAGATTGATGGTATTGCTATCTTTTTCTGTAGGCGTGAACGAGTGAAACGGAGGAGAGCAGAAGCCAAGACTGGCCCAGGCGAAACTGTTCCTGGAGCAGCTGTGAATGAGAAAAAACAACCTGATTTAGCAGAACTCTCCAGAAGTCTTCCTCCTGGTTGGCAGGTTTGCCCAATAGCACATCATCTTTTTAACTTATATTTAGAATTCAATATCCATAATGACAGACCTGATTTTAATTTGAAGATGTCCAGTTACCTTAGTGCTCCTGTTGAAATTGTATATCTTTTGTTCGTTATCTATATAGTATGGAACTTGGATCAGCAGTGGTTCTGGTTGACATTTAATAGTGTATCTCTGGGTAATTGTTCTTCACAGGGTACCAACTTTCTGCAACTTGATGGATCTCATTTAATGGTTTCTATGCTGTTTTTCTTTGCCAGTCCTTTTTGTGATTATTATTTGAGCCATCTTTTGAATCTGGATTTTTCAATTTTTATTTTGATAATTTTTTTTACCCTTTAGAGTCTGGGTAATTGTTCTTCACAAGATACCAATTTTCTGCAACTTGATGGGTCTCATTTAATGGTTCTTATGCTGTTTTTCTTTGCCATTCCATTTTCTCACTATTATTTGACCCATCCCTTGAATCTGAATTTTGTAATTTTTATTTTGTTAATTTTCTTTTAACCCGTTGAGTCATATTTGACTAATTTGGTCCTTTACAGGCTTATTGGGATGAATCGTCAAAGGAAGTCTATTATGGAAATAGCAGCACCTCGGAAACAACCTGGACTAAGCCAGCAAGATAAAATACACAGTTACTGACTTTTAGGGTTTTGCATGTCAGGGTTGTAACAACCAAATGTACTCGGTCCAGCATTCTGAGGTCCAGCATTCTGAAAGGCATCGACATGCCTATTGTAGAGGGACTGACGTTGTCAATCTCAAAAAATTCCTATATTTTAGTCAATTAAAGTCTTCAATGTGATGATTCCCATGTTATGCTATTTGCAATGAGCAGTACGTCCATGCCCATGCGGAGGTTTTGATGAGAGACAGGTGCGTCGAATGGAAACCCAGGTCATGAGTTAGCAGTGACAAGCTGTCTTGCTTCCGGGCTAGCCTTTCTTGTTGCTTGATGGGGGAATCGATATGACTTCTGAACCTGGTAACGCTTTAAATTTGCCAGGAACAATGTTCGCGAGATTGTGCTGTCCAACATTTAAAAAAGAGGTCTTTTTCTGCAAGTGAAAAAGATAAGATAATTGTCAAGCGAAGGCTGGTGCATCTCCACGCTTAAAATGCAGAAAGCTTTGTGAGTTGTAATCCCCAAAATATAGCTATTTTTTTTCTTATGAAAACATTTGTCTATGTATTTTCATTCATTGATTTGTTACCATGAAATTAATTATTATGATTATGATGTGTGTGATCATATGATGATGATGGCAAAGAAAATAAAATATGCGATGATGCTGGAAAAGGAATGGTGATGGGATGATGACAGCATAATAACGAACGATGGATATAACGCCCTGTGGCAGCAATGATGACCGTAATGTTGTTGATGTTAATGATTTACGAAAATCTGAAATGTATGGAAAACTATTTTTGTATAATGTAGAAAGACAAATAAAATCAGGATGTGAGAAACCCATATATATATATATATATATATATATATATATATATATATATATATCTAATTGCTGAATATGTCGTTTATATATTTTTTTTGAAGATATCAAATATGCTCATAATTTTTAATGACGTTATTGGTCATCATAGGCGGCCTTATGTTGGTTAATAATGTCAGTTCCAAACTTCACAACAATTTGGATTATGCTTTGAACTATATGAATAGAATATGTATCTCTATACTTTTAATATGGTACATAGATCGTTCATGTGGACATATCTTATCTAATATATTTTAATCAATTGATTGAAATTAACTGAGTACACTTAACTTTTTTTTTAAAGGATAAAATTATCGGATAAGATGCTTGAACACTTAAACATCTGATAAATGGATCTGATATACTTAATTTTATAAAATATCTTTTAAGTTTGAATTTGAAGAGATAAATACAAATTAGTTACTTTAGAGGGATATATATAATTTTCCTGCGCTTAAAAAAAAAAAAAACCAAGTACTAATAATTAAGACACAATGATGATGGTTGAAAACTAGCAAGTTTATAAGCAAGAACGGCGTTGCCGTGGTGTAGAGGTCCCAAAAGTCGAGAGAGACTGAGCCTATCATGATGAGGAACGTGGCCAACCCTTTTCTTCTCTGCTGGATTCCCGTTTTTCTCCGAAGGTAACTTTTCTCTGTGCCATCCCTCGGGGACATTTGGAACCCTCGTTTGGTCCTTTCCTCGGATCCTGAAAGTGTTCTTCCCCAGTCGATCTTCTCTCAATCGAAGTGCAATTCTTTCGATTTTCGTATCGGACGATGACACAATCTGGCGTTCTCGATATGTTGGAGATAAAAATCTTTGGTGGTTGTGTTTTCCGGAGAATTTTCGTTTCTTCTCTTTTTGGATAAAGATCTTAGGGTTCTCAGTTTCCCAGACTTATGGTTGTAAACTGGGAGAGAAATGAAAGGAAAAACTTTGGGGCTGAATAAAACCCCCTGGAAGTGGCTCTGGGGGCGAGGGACAGGGGAATCTGAATCTGTGGGCTGATTGCTGAGAGAGAATTGAAAGAATTTTCATAGAGCAGAATGGCTAATTGATTGTAGTAATATGGGAATTTATCTGGATTCTGTTACAGAAGTTATGGGCATCAGTATTTTGTAGATCCCCTGTAGATATGAATGTGCTACGAAGTTTTCTGTTCTGACTAATGCTCTTCTCTTCAATTTCCATTCGGAATGATTCTTTTAGGTGGTCCCTTAGTCTCTCTGTTTGCACTTCCCATAAGTTATAATGAATTTTTCCTCCTTTTATCTCATACCAATATGAGTCATCCTGTATATTAACTAATGATGGATTCTTGCTGTCTCAATTACAGTTTACTTTGCTAGTCATCTTTGATCCCTTTGTGATGTTCCATCTCCGCCATATTATTTGATTATAATGCATCTGACTCCCATCTTGACTGAGATTGAGTTGATGAGATTATAATGAGATTTCCTGTTATTATTCCTTTTGCAACTTCCATACAGAAAGCTAGGTGTTTTAAGTATGTCTAGCTAACAAAGCCTTCAAATTTTTTCCTTTCAAGCTGAGCCAGGTTTTACTGCAAAGTTAGAAGGCAAGATAAAAGTCTTTGTTTCTAGGTGATTTTTTGCTCTTACTTGTTTTTTAATCGCTTACCTGGGTGGGTTTGGGTGTGTTAAGAGTAGATGCCATCTTGTTAGAGGCTGCACAGAATACTCATGATCTATATCTTGCTAAGCTCTCCATCTGCAGTTTCATTGCCTATTTACAAATTGCAAATGAGTTGAGCTGTTGCCTATTTCTCAATCACAGTGTTTGAAAGGTTAAAGATCAAGTTAATCTCTCGAGTAAAAATAACATTTTTGTGGTTTCCTGCATTTGGGTTTTCTTCAAGGAGGAATTTATATATGAACCTATAAACTGGTCATATGTTATACAGGTAGTTTGTCTATTTTGGTAGGATATTAGCATGTCCTCTCGGGACATATACGTTGAGAATTTGAGATGTTGCGGGTTCCCTGGAACTATGACCTGCCTATATGTTATAC